AACTAAACAACTATTTATCAACTTAAACTAAGGATAGAAACAATTAATTAAATAAATAAACAAGAATAAAACACTCACATCATACGTTACCGTAATTGGTAACTATGGTGAATATCGAACTTATCAGGAACCATTAACGTAAGAGGGCGTAAGATATACAATGTCGACTTCATTACATCCAGGCACTGTACAGCGATACTATTATTTCCAAACCCAATTTGTTCTCTTGTACTACCGAGTAGAAAATCAGGAAAGTGCAGTTGATTAAAATGACAGTGGCGTATCTAAAAAATGCTCGTGCCCCACCAATCGCCCCCACCTCCATACAAATCACACTCAAGTACAGTAGTAGTAGTAATACAAATCACTCAAATCACCCTATTTTGCAATCTAGGGGCCCCTCCACCTAATCAGCCCGCCCCCTCCCCCCACAATTTCAAGACTCCTAGATACATCACTCTGGGTGCGCTAAATGGGCATTTTTGTTTCCCTTGTTTTATTCCATAAAGCTACAGCCCCTGTGAAATGTATGTAGGACATCTTCTTTCGGAGACAAGTCAGGCTCTGGAGGGAAAACATGATATGTTGTACAACTCATTCTAAGACACAGAAAGCATATTTGACGAAAAACTCTGGAACAGTTAACGAGATACAAATTTTTGAATATTTAAAAACTGGGGGAAAGGTGGGAATTTAAATATTCTCCGAAGCCTGACTTTAAGGCATTCGCCCATATAAAGCATGGCCCATGAGAATGTAGCCTATACACAGTAGAGTAAGGGGTTGATTTTGATATACAGTGCTGTCCAATTAAACACTAGGAGTGGAGCTGCATTGTTGTTGACGTGGGTTCCTAGATGCAACCCGAATTCTTTCAACTTCACGATACTGAACTTGGACCTCTCGAGTTTTCCATTAATTTACTTTAATTTTTACTTGATAATAAATTGTGACTTGAGCTTGAGGACGGTATTGACCTTAGAGTGGTGATGAATACAAGTTTATCATATTTTCATAGCACAAACTTCTGAAGATTGAATGCGATATTAGTGCTGTCAAAATTTATTCATAATCCACTGGCGCTTTGAATCACCACAACGCATTCATTTTCGAGTCCAAGTGGCGGTTCCAGGAATTCAAAATAGAGGGATTCTCACAGATAGAGGGTCTAGTACTACTAGACTATAATAGATCACCTCAGCCCCAACCATGGCGAGAACAGAAACATTTATGATTATGGCCAATGCTGTAACCAGTATTTTCAAACAGTGCGGGACAATATCAGGGTGGACCCACTTTACGCATAAATTCAAACAATGGACCTATTTTATGCAAAAAAAATATATCCCAATATCAATAATATTAATCAAGATGGTTTTCAAATCAATTTTCACAGTAATTAATAAGTATGCTTGCTAAATCTTATACAATGAAGTATGGCTATGCTTTTGATACATTAAGCACATTTTACAACTACAAATCTCGTTGCGGTATTGGCCTATCTTAAATAGGCCTTTGGGGGAAATTGTATGCACTATTTTGGTTCCCAATCTGATGCACACATATGGTTAACCATTTTGTTTGGGTCTGAAGAAAATTATATTAATAAAAGATAGATGGATAGAATACCACTAAAAAGATCCATGTAACAATTTCACGCTCCTTCTGTCGACCTTTAGACTTCAAAAGTGCCGAAACATGTAGTTACCTTGTCAACTCATGTTTGAAGAAGCCCGAAAGCTAATCCCTTTGATACAAGATACCCAATGCAATTTTCTTGTTCAAACGTAATACACACTTCTAACTCGATAACGCAAAAAATATATACAAATCTACGAAAATGTAGTTAGTGTTACCATGGCTTTAATACAAGTACACATTACCTGAAATCGACACCACTTTAAGTCAATGGTAAGCTGTTATAATGTATATATGCGGTGACTACTACATAGTGATGTGGAAGTATCCATTGCTATACGAACCATCAACCTGAGCGGCAATATCAAAGAAACTCGAGTAACTTGTAAAATAAGACGTGTTTTAACTAGGAAACAGTACAGCAAACTTATACATAAAATCGTTTGTTTAGAAGTTTACTTTAAGTAAGCGAGAACGTTTAATAGAAACAATTTTGGCACCGAGTTTGACAAAAGACTTAACTATATCTAAATTAAACGACGCGAGATTGTTCCGGTCAGCGATAATTCTTCCACAGCAGGTATTTACAGTACAATTATATAAACCTACCTATTTCTGTCTTAGCTTTAGTTGGCCTAAACAGAAAACGAATAAAAACAATTTAAACATTCAATTGCTAATATGAAAGGATAAAAATAAACTCATTGACACCAAATATCTAAAATTTTATTTAAATGTTTTTGTAAGTAAATACTAGGTGGAGGTTCACATCACTGCTGTTGATAGTGGCTTTATGTTGCTTTTGAGCTTCTTAGAAACTACTTTTTATTTCTTATGCAAAAGTGTGCTTTGTATAGTTTTGTAATTGTTTTCATGAATGAATAGTAAATAAATAAAACAATTCAGTTTTCACTGATTTACAGATGTTTCACTACTACAGAGTGTTTACAAAAACGGCCACAAAACATTTTCTCGTTTTAATTAAAGTACCATCAAACACATTTGGAGTACCGTACACAGGCCCGCGACTTGTTATTGTAATACTACGAAACAAGATGTTGTAAAATTGAAGATGATATATCGCTCTTTAACTTTAATTTTGTTTATCCGGTTATGTGTCGAAATTATTTTATCATGAAAAATGGATGACGCTTTTTCAACAATAAGTTTATCTCAAATAATCAAAGAGCTTCATCTGGTCTTGTTGCTGTAATAATATAGATGTATACATTTATTTAAATTAGAAAAACCAAAATTTACATCAATAATCTACGAAAGAAAATGTGATGAACAACGTTAGAAAGCTTCATTCAAAAATATAAGCAAAACTAAAAATATGTTGTAGGCCTACAGATTTTGCATACATGACAACCAATGCCTAATACATCATAGGCCTATATGAAGTTTCATCTTACAAAACTTTGGTTTTGTAAATTTCAGTTTGCATTTTATTCATCAGTCCATTTTCATTTCACATTCCTGGTGGTGATGTGTTGCGAGAACGTTTACGAGACAAATACCATATGCGCACGCAAAGCGTTTGACACCAGAAAAACTTAATAGACATTAAAATAAAATAAACAAATTAACATTAATTGATGTTGAAAATTCTAAACAGCTGATTTATTTCCAATCAAAACAGAGATAGGCCTATCGACCTTGTTGTAAGAATCGAAACTGCAAAAGTTTAATATAAATTGCAACTACGGAACACATTATAAAATAAATAATTATCAAGAGCTTCAAAAAGAAATATTTACATTCTAAACAAGAAGAAACTATTGCCAACTTTTTATATTCAGGAAACCAGTAAAGTCATCAGTACTTAGAAGTTCAGAATGTAGTAGGCCTACTATGTGCATAACGAACACTTGAAATGAAAAAAAAACGTAATCTCACTCAATGTATCAATCATTAAAATGACATTGTTCTGTAGAAATGTCATGTAAAACATACATGGTGACGTATAACAATGCGGCCACCATCATTGAACCTTACTTTGTGACTGCAAAGCTTTCTGTGAAGGAATGTTTCTCTATTTGCACGTTCGTTTATTATGGAAAACAAAATTTACGAACACAAATTTAAACTTTGTTGATGGAGATGTTTAACGAATCGCAGGAATTATGCTCTCAATACTAGGCAAGGGAAATCTACCGCAAGTAAAATTCATTACAAGTGGGTGATTGAAATTTGTCTTAAATTTGTTGGGTAACAGAGGGTAAATTTGAGCACGACGAGTGCCAAGACACCTTTGACTTCCTCCTCTAACACCCGTCAACTGACGGCACAACTCAGACGTCCCAAGAGTGGACGTTGAAGTAAAATTGATTACTTCTGTATAAGCGCGCGAGCAGTTTGGTGTTTTTAATTGTTTGGGTGGAAAAAGTCATGTTTTATTAGTGCCAGAAGACGTATGAAACATAAGGGAGGTCCGAGGGGTGAGACAAAGGTTCCAATCAGGGTTCAGAAACATAGTAGGCATATATTGCTATCGTGATCCTTTATCCGAAATTCTCAACAAAGTTGAGAATAACAAGGTTTACAGCATGTTAAGTAAATTATGCCTTACAGCACAATAAAATTCAATATAATACAATCCTAAAACAATCAAACATATAATATAATATAAAACACAATATTATATTAAGATATAATATAAAATATAATAGGCCTATATTAATATGATATATTATAGGCCTATAATAAAATAATTGTAGTAAGTGTTTTTTTCTGTTGATATTATTGTTCATATCTAACACGGCTACACCCCTATTTTTATATAAACCTATGAATTTACTGTATATGTGTTTTTAAATCAAGGCTGAAAGAACACTGGCAAAATCACCACCAAAAGTTTAAACGGAGAAGCAAATTAAAGGATTAATGATTTTTTCTAACAGCTATGATTAAAATATTGAAATTTAACATATAATTCCATTGACGGTAATTTATTTTCAGATGTATTTGAAGGATTGGATTGAATTGGATAATAATAATAACTCTTTATTTGTCCTCGTATATGTATACCTACACACTGGGAAATTCGGGCTGGGTCCCTGGGGACCCGCGGCTGCCATAGCTCGGCGCCAACTACCCCACATACTATACAACGGATACAGACTGATACATGCATGGATTTATTCGGTGTAAACACCAAGGATAGCCCACGAAAGTCTAGAAGAAGACTTATTTCCAGTGGGGTCCTTCTGGCGGTGACTGGGAAGTACACCAGGAGACAATCCCCTACTCTTTTCCGAAGAGTGTACTGCGTTCTTTAACGTGCACATGGGCCATCAATGCACACGGGACCAACGGCTTAAACTTCTCATCCGAAAGACGGTGCGCTATTGTAACTTGTATTTTCAGCCCTCCAGCTGAAACACAAGGAGAGGCAGCGATTGGAATTGAACCGGGATCCTAGAGATCTCCACGGTTCAGCGCATACACAGTGGCTACCACCAGATTAGCCGACTGAGCTAAGCTCCTCTGGGATAAGCCTATGTTCTGATGTGGTGCCTCCCGAATTGCCAATTCTCAAATCTTTAAATGTTTCTTGTCTTCTCGCTGATTGATCGTTCTTGTCTCAATTGTGTCTTCATCAGCCTTGTCACCCGGTTTGAACTGTGGAGTCATTAGGTCCCAAATTCGAACATTTCCATCGTCGCTACAACTGACAATACGATCCTCAGTAACCTGAAATGAAATGATAGATTAAATAAATTTCCTCCAAAGAATTGAAGCAAACATTTGTAATTTGAAGAAAACTGGCATTCGAACAAAAGACCCTCGGTTTCTTATATATTTTTTATTTTAAGTAACTTTAACAATTTGAGAAGGCACAGTAAGAGCGATATCTTCAGCAAATGACTTAAAGAACACGTCGATGTTTTGTGCACAGACCGTTGGTATGAATCTTTATCATGCTTCAGTCAAGAAAGGAGCAAGCACAGACCGTAAAGACCGAAGCAACTGAATATGATTTCGGCAAATATTGTATATTTATGAACTTCAGTGAGACGCAAAATAGCTGGGAACACTAAATCTGTGGCCTCTTTTTGAAACTACACATTCGAGATGTGGACCTCAGGAATTATGCAACATGGCAAACATTTTTATGTATGATTTTAACAAAGGAGCAAAAAACTGGGCACATACACAAAACTGCCAAGATTACAACATAAAAATCAATAATTAATAATAAATATTGCTCAAATTACAACAGACTTGGGAACGCCACTAAAGCAAACACTTATATGGACTTCAGGAAAAGGCAACAAGTTGGGCACGCACATATTAGTAAGTACAGTACTTGGGCACATTGCATGGACTATACAGCAAAGGAAATTAATTTAATTTAGCACACGTGGGGGACCGGAAATTCCAAAAATAGAGGGAAATATTTAACATTGTTCTTAACCAAGCACTTATTGAGAACCTTCAATAATAATGTAAATGCAAGTTTGAGATGAAAGAAAAAAACGTTCAGGAAACTTTCACGAAATGGTTCGGGTTAATTTTCGGGCATGCAGCAATTAAAATAAAAACATTCAACAGAAAAGCATCATGACTTAATCGAACAATATGTATAATGTAATATTTGTACAAATTTCATTATTTTGAAACCAGTACCAGCTACCAAGAGCCACAACAGGAAATGAATAAAGGACAGTGAAAAGTGTCTGCTGAAAAACTGGATATGCGTATTAATCCATCAAAATGTTAGGCTGTAAAAACAGCTTACATTCATTACCCTGGTTCTGGAACTAGCCTAGTGATACCAAACCAATGTCTTGCTAATATCCTGCTGATGATAGGTAGGCATATACACTGTATAATGTATTACAGCAATGATTGGGACCACTTGAGAGACATGTCATGTTGTAGTCCAAGATAGTTATCTAGGTGCTATGCAACTGTATTTTACAACAGTGAAATAATATTTTTAATCTATATTTTTTTTAATCCATAAGAGATTACTCGATGGCATCTTTATAAACTAAAGGAAACAGCCACCGAAAATTTCAATTTGTCAATATCTGGGTGGGTAAAAACAGTAGCAAACTAAATCAAAGGATACGAAAAAGTGCACAATAACAATGAAGAGCCATTTAAAAACAAATAAACCCATTGTAAGCTTACTTTTGCTCAATTTGAAACATAACGTTGGTCTATTAAAAATGATTGTTCACAGTATAACCTGACAAGGTTCTTACCAAGACTTTTGGAGATATTATCTTCACCTACATTTACTGTGAACTGAATAACATAATGAATGAGAAAATACATTGTTATTATACCATAGGCCTATGTTAAAAAGACATTTTTTGAAATTACTGTATTTACTGTACAGTATATAACATTATTCTGTTTATATGTTTAAACTTTCCTTTTACTCTTGTATTACTTCAAAACAAACCACAGACCTGCTGACTGTACCTTATGGCCAAGTCAGTGCAGGTAAAATGAATGTGTAGGCTTTCTTTACATATAAAAATGATACTAATGTATTTATTTTTCAACAGTATTTACATGTTCGAAATCCTCAACCTAGGTCTTTTTATAGATTTTTATTGTTTATTTGTTTTAAATGTTTGTACATCATGACCATTTATTTACTTATCTTTATTCTCGTTTTTTTTCACATAAAAAAAAAATAAATTTTATGGCAGCACAAAGCTGAATTGATAAATATTAACAAAATTTGACATTAAAAATTAAAATCATATATAATTAGATAGAAATAGTAAAAAACACAGATATTACAAAAACTTCATATAGAAAAATTAAAACACTACCATATCAAAAATATTAAAAAGCTATAAGTACAAAATACAAAAGTTACGATAATTACGAATTTGAATTCGTAATTATCCTAAATATAAAATTTAGGATAATTATGAAAAGATAAATATTTAAATTGGTTATACTGTAATTGATTTTATTTACACATTTTAATTTCATTATTTTTAAAAATTCAAGTAAAAAAGTCATTTATTTAGTAATTTACAGATCGATCGATTTTTTAAATCGTTATGTATGGCAAAAATATTCCTCAATCTTCACATTATTTCTCAGGGTTCTTTTACTTATTTCACCTCTACGTTTTCTAATAGCATTTGGAACAATATCATTTAGGGTTTTAGCAAATTTCATTAAAAGTTCATCTCTTCTCTCGTCTAATCGTGTTAAGTTTAAGGCTTGTAATGCAATAGGATATGAAACATAATCCCGGCCAAAAATTATTTTTAAAGCTCTTTTTTATATCATCTCTAACTCGTTTGTTTGTTTGTAGTCAAGGATGTGTGCCACACTTGGCTAACAAACGATATATAAATTTGTTGGTTGATAGGCATACAAAACTTTTTAAAGCACGTTAACATGTATAAACGTCTGCCTGACTTACACAACACTTCCTTTTTGTGGGCATCCCACTTTAGATTATTACTCAAAGTAACTTCTAATAATTTTATTTTATTTACTTCACTTATATTATTATTATTAATAGTTATGATTTGGAAATCAGGTACAATTTTAGTAAAAGAGATATTCATACATTTACTCTTTTAAATTCTATTGTAGATTGTATTTGTTTAAGGTATTCTATCATTAGTGATTTCGCTGTTAGATGTGGTTTATACTACTGTTAACATTCAAATCTTATACAAATTGACACTTTAGAAAGTACATTTTCAGACCCAAGTATAAATCACTTTGTTACATTTCTCAGTCAATTATGTCATGTTGAAACATTCTTGTTGTCAAATAAATCCGCAATGCAATAAATATTCTTTATTTACAATCTAAATGCTTATACATCCATGGAAAACATACACCTGGGTAGCAAACAAACAATAAAATAGTTATCGCATAAATCATCAAACTTTCCAGTCTAGTCAACTAACAAATAACTTCTAAACGAATAATAATATATAAGCAACTGTAAATAGTTTACATACTGGCAACAAATTATATAGCTATTGGCTTATTTATTATCATTATGCTACTCCAAGTCGAATGTCACATATGTCCAATATATATACATTATAAGTACAGTACCAAAAATTAGGAATATTTTGATTTTTTCAAGCTGTATCAACTTCAAGTATATTGCTATAGTTAACAGATTGAAATGATATTATACTGGGGCTGTTTGTTTGTTTGTTTATTTTTTATTTCTAATCCATAAACATTGACACAATACAAAAAAACAAAAACAAAAAACAACAGGATCCATGCCGACACAATTAATCCTAACAAAATTTGGATCCCAGTAAAATAAATAAAACCAGAATGCATTCCAGTTAGAGGTAAAATTGTTTGGCTTTAATAAAATCCCAGAATCTTGGATGTCATTTTACAAAATGTGTCACCACCAAAATTAACTCCCCACTCCTAAGCCTCATAAGTTTTGTAGAGCAGTATGTGTGTATGTTAGTCTTTCAATTCCAACAGGTTGACCTATAGTACTGTACAAACTTGATAGGTACGATACAATGAAGACAAGTTTTCATTATAAGACTTACAGGATATTTTACATACTAAAAACATACAAGTACTATTCACTATCTTTGTAATGTCAATTAATGTTGGTGATGGAATTAGTTTGTGCAGCAGCCACAATTTGGTCTCTGAACCTAAATGTTGGGTGTTCGATTTCTGCCATGGTTTCATACGGTTGTACTTGGTCTGTCAAGGCACTTTCTTGTACACATTGTCTCCACCCAGGAGCACAAGTTGATAACTCATAGGTTGGAATGTCATTGCGTTCTGATTACTAGCTGCAACATCATGGAATAATCCCCCAGGGAGCTCAGTATGTGTTCCTTTGGCATTTGTTCCATGTGACCGGGATAATAATGCAAGGCATCTAAGGGTCATAATGTGGAATAACTGTAACATTTAATTTTCTATGTGATCCTTTATAACTCAAGAAATGGCTTTTCACCAAAAAACAATGTTGACTATAATTAATGGACTTTGCATTTGTCATAAGCGTAGCATTGAAAATGAGATTCATTTTCTTTTGTTCTGCAAGATATATATTGATTCTAAGAAAAATGTATCTCCCCCATCATATTATATTAACTTTCCAAATAGTGAACAATTTTTATCAGATTATGTTCTTGGAAAAACAATAATACTATTAGAAAAATATGTTTATTTATTTATCATGCATTTAAGGGAAAAGAAATCAAGGAAACATGTGTGTTTTAACAAAATTATTTAAGATATTGTCACAGCAGGCTCATTTATTTTGTACTATATTTGTTTTACAAGGGACCGGAGGCCTGGAGTTTGAATAAATTTTACTGTAAATGTGACTGAGCTTGGGTAGTCACTGAGCTTAAAGGTCCCTTTATTGCTGGTAGAACAATTCTGTTCATCACAATCATCCATACCCAGTCTCTGTTATGTTACATTTATTTTAATGATTACAAATAATACAATACAAAAAACACAAACATAATCACTATTAAGTAAATCGTCTAAAACTTAATTAACCTTGTAAGACAGTCAATAAATTGTGCCCTATATTTTAAATGTTAACCTTATTATTTGTGTTTTATGTTTAAAGTTTTCATCAACTTCACACACCTGATGAAGCTGCCAGCGAAAGCTTGTGTAATAAATATTCAAACATCAAAAGTCAATTTTAACTGAGGGCTGAGTCTCTTTCATCCTAGTCATATAAATGGAAGGTCACCTTATTGCTGCCTCTCTTTTATCCCAGCAAAATAAAATTTAGTCCAGTTTTATTATTCTACTGAGCCTCCTGAGATGTAACATTCCATCAACATAAATAGGCATAAAACACAGTTTCAAGGGAATCAGGTAAAACAGAAATTGGCATCCAGACACAGTGTTACATTACAGTAGTAGCATAGGTGTGTTCAGGTGTTGAGATTTTCTGCATCACACCCTAGATTTACGAGTACCTCATTGCAACCCCCCAGAGCTGATCAGCAATGTAATCAGGTCAGTGAGTATTAGCAAATTGGTAGAAATCACTGCAGATTGAACAGTATGATGAGGTTAGTGTAGAGTCTCCTCCCTTGTGAATTGCAGCTATTATTGTCATATTTCATCTTATACAAGTATTTATGTATGCTGTTTAAGAGCCAGAACAACCATCAATAACATGTTTTCAGGTGAAAATGGCAGAAAATGCAAAGTTATTTTACTTAATATCTTGATTATACTTCCTCTGATAGATTTCTTTTAACTCTAATGAAGTTTCTTAGTATCATACTTAATCTCGTGATGAGACCCCTATTTTCTTTGTTTTGAATTTATATAAATATGAAATAAGGGACAGGAACATGATTATATGATTTAAGCATATGTTTGAGCTTTGTGGAATTTTCAAATAAAAGTCAATTATAAGATAAGCCAAAAAGAAAATGATACATAATCCATATCAGGAATTTTAGGAGTACAGAGAGAGACATATGATGTATGGGTGAAAGATGCATGGCCAGGGACCAGGTAGGAGCAATGAATGAGGAAGGAGCATAGAAAGGAAGGGCCCAAGATAATAATATACCCAGGAATTTTGTTTAAACACTTCCATACTCTATTACAGTGGCGTATCTAGAAGTCTTGAAATGAGGGTGCTGATTGGGGAGGGGGGTGCTGATGGGGGAGGGGGGAGCGAATGTGAAGTGGGGGAGCGAATGTGAAGTGGGGGGGGGGCTTGATGATCAGTTGAGGGGCGCTTATTCGCAAAATACGGTGATTTTAGAGATGGTTAACTACTTGACCGTGATTTTTTTGGGGGGGCCAACTGGGGGTCGCAAGTTATTTTTGGAGGGGTGTGCGCGTGCCAATGGCATAGCAGCTCCTCTGGAGAGAGCAGCTCCTCTTGGAGAGAGCAGGTTAGCTCAGTCGGCTAATCTTGTGGTAGCCACTGTGTGTGCGCT